CGATTACTTACTAAAACGAGGTAAACTTCGATCAACTCTATAATACCACACACACACACACGTGTGTGTATATATTTGCTCACATATATGCTTCTGGACCTGTTCAGGCATTACTCCATATGCAAACTTGTACCATTATGACCTTCCTTTGGCTCTTGAGTTGAGATACAAGGGACTATTGAGTCGCAATGTAGTGTAAGTACGGTATTATGTATTATTGTGTGCTTCCACTTAATTGCATATTCAGATGTTTTGATTATGCCAGACTGGTATTGGTATATATATCTGATCAAAGCTTCAAACACTGCAGGAATGATTTTGCAGATTATGCAGAGTTTTGTTTCAAGACTTTTGGAGACAGGGTGAAGAACTGGATGACATTTAATGAGCCTAGAGTGGTAGCTGCTCTTGGTTATGATAATGGCTTCTTTGCTCCTGGAAGGTGCTCAAAACCTTATGGAAATTGTACAGCTGGAAATTCCGGCACCGAACCTTACATTGTCGCCCACAATTTGATACTATCACATGCAGCTGCAGTTCATAGATACAGAATAAAGTACCAGGTACTACTAGCATGTTTGGTATATAGAAAAGTATTTTCTAAAATATAAACAGGAGGTGTACCTAAAAACAAAATAAGACAAATGCATTTCTCATTTCAGTATCTAAGTGAGATGAGAAACTTTATCCCAAAAGTTAGTTGTTAAGGTAGGAGGACCAACCCACTTAAATACCTCACTCAATGTGGGATTTGGTATCACATACTACCACAATAAAAACACGTCAAACATTGCTTAACATTCTAAGTCTTTTAAATGGGAAAACTCGTGAAGTGTCAGAAATTTCTAATGTAGTGATGAATGTGCTTGTTGCAGGAAAAACAAAAGGGAAGGATTGGAATTCTTTTGGATTTTGTTTGGTATGAGAATCTTACAAGATCGAAGGCTGACAATTATGCAGCTCAGAGAGCCAGAGACTTCCACCTTGGATGGTAAAACCTTGAAAATATCTGTATATGACTCCCTTCCATGGTTTTCACACTAATAAATAGTTACAAGGTTTAAATTCATGCAGGTTCCTCCATCCTATTGTGTATGGTGAGTATCCAAAGACTATCCAAAACATTGTTGGGAAAAGGCTTCCCAAGTTCACTCAGGAGGAAGTCAAGATGGTGAAAGGCTCCATCGATTTTGTTGGTATCAATCAGTACACCACTTACTACATGTATGATAACCATCAACATGAACCAAAAGTCCCAAGCTACCAAATGGACTGGCACGCAGGATTTGCCTGTAAGATCACCTTCCATTATATTCACAATTTTATTTAGAAATTTCAGGCTACTTTAGCTACTACTAATAATGATTTTCTCTTGACTAATGCCAGATGCAAAGAACGGAGTCCCTGTTGGTCCAAGAGTAAGCTTGATCCAAGTATCAGATTTGCTTTATAAATTCACAAATCCTGCATTAACTTAGATATAACTGATGACAATTTTGCAGGCAAACTCATATTGGCTCTACAATGTTCCATGGGGCATGTATAAAGCATTGATGTATGTCAAGGAACGTTATGGAAACCCTACTGTGATCTTATCTGAAAATGGTTAGTAAAAAGCAGGCATTGTTTCTAGTTTCACCAACTCTTATGACATGTTTGGTATAAAGTAGGAACGAGAATAAGTGTACTATCAATTTTTAACATACCAAACAAGTAAGTCCAACTTTCCCTCTCCCTTTTCCATTTTAGAAAGGACTTCTCTCCGTACTGAACATGTCATTAATCTTTTGAGTTGAACTAATCTATGACGATTTATGCGTGCTTTCTGGCCTGACCCTGAACCCTGTTAATGAGGGCCACAATTGAAAAATACGATCAATTTGGGATATGTGAGTTTATGAGCTTGAACTATCTTAAAGGTTGAGCCAGCTCTTATTGACAGCTTTACACACAAGCCTAACTTTCTATGTCCCTTTTCCATTATAGAAAGGACTCCTCTACATACCAAACATGTCATTAATCTTTTGAGTTGAACTAATCTGTGACTGTGACATGCTTATTGTTTGTAGGCATGGACGATCCGGGTAATGTAACACTTGCCAAGGGGCTGCATGACACCACGAGGATCAATTACTACAAAGGTTACTTGACACAGCTAAAGAAAGCAGCTGATGAAGGAGCAAATGTGGTTGGTTACTTTGCCTGGTCCTTGCTTGATAACTTTGAGTGGAGATTAGGCTACACATCAAGGTTTGGCATTACATATGTTGATTTTAAAACCCTCAAGAGGTACCCCAAGATGTCTGCATATTGGTTCAAGCAGCTTATCACCAGAAAGAAGCAGTAATAAGCAGAATGTAGAAATTGACTACTGAATCCTAGTTTGTGTGGTTTATTGGGTTAGCGAGAGCTTTTTGAAAATGTAATCACGTGTTGTCTTTAATCAATGCTAGTCTTGGAATAAAATGATGTTGTTAGCTCCGCTAACTACACTGGTCTTGGAATAAAAATTGTATCAACATCAACATGTACCCAGAACAAAAATGATGGCATTAATAAACTAACTTTGATGGGAAGGAACAGAAGTTCAATTCATAAATTTACATATCTACATGTAAATCTATAACAGTTAAGACTTGTACAGTGTTAGATGGCCTAGAGTTACTGACTGGTGTAAGAAATTGAAAGGCAGTCTCACAAAAGTTACTCATTGTGTCACACCACCTCTCTTAAACGAGACATAAATTTTATATTTTAGAGTAGGAATTTAAATGTTTAATGCATTTGCCATGCTACACCTCTAATGCAATCAATTCCATGTGCGATAATTAAATAGATTTTGAAAAAAAAGAAGTCAAGATTTATTAATCAAATAGATTTTTAGGGTTATTTGAAAGTTTCAATAGATCATATCTAGTTTTGCTTTACAAAATGTGACGTTTAGACTCGATGTAGAGGTGGAATTGCCGCGGAGTGGGGGCCCGGGAGCAATTAACACTTGGAACCTGTTAGGATTTTGAAGCTATGAAAACAATTATATCTTTATTAGTTTTTGCTTTATTATTTTCTCTATTATTATGTCTGAAATTAAAAAAATTAGACTAAATTATCTTTATAATTAATGATACAAATTTATCTTGTGTAAATAAACTTTGACTTTAGAAGAGGTAATTTTGAAAAAAATAATAAATACTTTTTGAAATTTGCAGTTTTGCTTTTGAAAAAAAATAAATATATGGCAATTTTTTATAATAAAAATGTAGGGAGTGTAAAATAAAATACCATCAAAAATATATTATTGGGATCATATGTTAAACTAGATTCATTTGTTATTTCTTTCACTCCTTGACTGCAAATTTACATACTCCCTTCAATTTTTGGTGAAAAAAAAAGGTATTTTTATTCAAACCACAGCCTCCAATAATTTAATTAATTATTTTTAAATTAACATCATTTTTTATAATTGTTTTCATTTAATAGGGTGTCTCATTTAAAGTTAAATGATTGATTGATTTGTTTGTTTATTAAGAGTATTTTTTGGAAAAACTCATTCATTGAAGAAAATAAAAATGCTGTGTATTGTTTACGAAAAATTATGTGTAACTTCACAATTATAATTTCACATATCTCATAATTAAATAGATTATGTATTACAAGTTTAATAGAAATTTTATGCAACTAGTTCATTAATAATTTATAACTATTACTTTAACATTTTACAACTATAAATTCACATATCAAATTATTAAATTGATCATGTATTATTAACAAAATTTAATATTAATTATTTACAATTATTTCATTAATAATTTATAATTATTATTTCAATATTTTACAATTTTAGTATTTTTAATAAGAACAACATTATCTTTATACTTCAATTTCAAATTACACTCATGTTTTAAGGAACTTGATTATAGTTTTAAAATTTTGTGTGACTTATTTATAAATAACTTTTCTCTATGAGACCTATATAGTATTTTTTCCTATTTTTTAACATCTCATCTAAAAAAAATATCGTATATTTTTTAAGAGAAATAATATAATCTACCAAGTAATCCATCTGTTTTTAAATATAAAAGAAAATAATCAATTCACATAGTTTCAAAGAATTGATGAAGTATAATAATTATATTTGAAATTAAAAAAATAAACTAAATAATTCCTATAATTAATGAAACAGTACATTTTAGAATTTGATTTTTGAAGCTTGCAAGGAGAGTACTTCCCAAAAGAGGACAATCTCTTAAACGACACTCTAATTCTTTAAGAAATTAATTTTATAAATGTCAGCTGTGGAGATAACTTGAGAAAAAAGATAAAAAAAGGTAGTTAAAAATAGTTAGGGTGAATAAATATATTACAAAAGTATTGTCATTAAGCTTTTAATAATTGATCGTATTAATAAATACTTCTTTTTAACAGAACATTATAATAAATGCTCTAAATAAGAGATAATTGTTTCTTATAAATAGGATCATGATTATTATCCTAAAATTCTTTTATAAAAAGTATAAGAGATAGTAATTTATGGACACAAATCTCTTCATTTTTTTATTATTCTTTTCCCTCCACTTTCTAATCACAACTAGTGATATTATTATATTAAATGAATCTATTTTAGTCATGAATCTGATGAATGATTACGGTTAGAGAGGTGGAGGGAAAATGATGATAAAGAAATAGAAAGGTTTTCACTTTATAATTTATTAAAATATGTCAAAATTTAAATTAATCTTTAAATTTCAAAACTCATCATGTTTACATGTTTATTTAAGAGAAATATTTATTACATATATTTTTAAAATTAACTTCAAGGAAATTGGATCTTTGCCCCGCTTCAAATTTAAAATAATAATAATAATAATAATAATAAAAAAGCATTTGGAACTCCATTAGCTTGAAATAAAATATTGCTCGAAGCCGGTTTAAATTTTTGAAAAAGAAATAAATAAAGTCGGTTTATTTAGGTATCTCCACCGAGGCCCAATCTTAACCCGAACAAGTCTCTCCTGATTCTCGCGCCTCCTGACGCATCAAGAAACCATCCGCTAGCAGACTTCCGTTATAACGCAGCGAAGCGCTCGCAAACCTCAATTCAAGCTTCCCCAAGCAACTGCAACGCTCTCTCTCTCTTCCCTCTTCCTCCGTACTTCTCTGCAAAACCCTAGTTTCTGCTTTGTGGCCTCTCTTTTGCAACGCGCAATGGCTCCTCGTGCCGACGAAAACGACGAAGATGACCTCTCCTCCGGCGAAGACGATGACGGTTTCAAGGAGGACATGGAAGCCCTCGCACGAGCCTGCATGATCGCCGGCACTAACCCCGATGGTATTAAACCATCTTCTACTGTCGCTCCCGACGATGATTATAATGCAGACGCGGTGGTTCCCAAAGCATCGGACCCGCTGTTGGGCCCCGGCGATGCTCTCGTCCCCGTGTCAGACTCTGACGACGAGCAGAGGGACCTTCAGTATCTCAAAAGAGTGCAGGAGCTTTACCAGCCTTCGTCATTCAAGCCATTGAAAATTCTTCCGGCGCTTTCTTTGTCTGATGATGATGAAGATGACATGGAAACCCTCCGTGCCATTATGAGACGCTTTTCTGCTTATGAAAGAGGTAGGCTGCTTGGCATCCTGTATTCATTTATTTTTTTCATGATAAATTTGATTTTGATGGTGTATCGTGGCTGGCTGCTTACCACTTGCCGTTAAGTTTAGCAATATCTGCTTCCATGCTTTGTTTTAAATATAGGTGGTGATTGGAATTGAGTATTATTTAGTTTTGCTCCTCGATTATTGTGTGCATTTGTGAGAGTTTATCTTTCCAAATACTAATACCAAATGTCCTGTCGGGGGGGGGGGGGGGAGGACCTTGAACTTTTCTCTTTCTTATATTGTTTTGGGCTAATTGATAGTTGCATTGAACATTTTCGATGACAACGATTGATTCTTACGTTACTCTTCATCGCTTGGTTGGTCCAATCATTTTTTTTTTCACTGACTTGACTAACTTTTACTCTTGTATGTTTGGGCGTTTTGTATTGTTTGGCCATAGTGTGTAGTGTTATGTTTTTATTCTTTCGATTATATTTTTATATTATTATGTCTATTTATATCCATCTCTCTTTCCTGAATCCTTAGAATAACGTTGGATTCTAAAAATAGCAGGCCCTGATGAAGATAATGTGGATAAAATGGCTGAGGGAGCTCATACCTCAGGTCTAGGCTCTGAGGAGGAATTTGATAACAGCGTGGCATCTAAGGGATTAGATCCCGGTGAATCATGCCCTGTTTCTCAGGATGCTATTAAGACCACCAGTTTATTAACTACTGCTGAAGTTGAGAGACATCCTTGTAACATCAATGAAAGGTGTGAACCCAAGGCTTGCAAGCCATCCAAGTTACTGGACAAAAGATCAAGATTTCCTTTGTCTGCTCAGGTTTTTATTGATGCAATCAAGAAGAATAGATCTTTCCAGAAGTTACTGCGAAGTAAGTTGATTCAGATGGAAGCAAAAATTCAAGAAAACAAACAGTTAAGGGAAAGAGTTAAACTTCTTAAAGATTTTCAGGTTTCATGCATAAGAAGAACAGGGCAAGCTATATCACTGAAAAAGGATCCCCGCATACTGTTAATATCAGCAAAAAAGTCTACTGCTTCAAGTACCACAAAGGTGGGTCGAGAAACATCGTCTTTAATACTTTTTCATTACTGCACTCCAAAGCATGTGCTGTAGTTTATGTTAAGAAATCACTGGGTGTGCATTCAATGGCTGAGTAGCACTAGCTAGTTGTTGGGTTTTACTCATTCTAAATATCATTTAATGAAATTGAAGTAACTCCTGTAAGTTTCTGTTTCCAATATGTTTGTCACTTATATCCATCATTGAAATTGATTGGGGTAAGTAAAAAGGGATTGATAAAAGATCTAATGATTGGTGGTCATGGCCATGATTGGGAAGAAAACACAGTGAACGTACTTTGATTGGTGAAAGCATTATAAAGTGCACAGGAAGAGTGTTTATTAATCTACCTGTAATTAGTTTACTGCATGATATTTTATTTTTTGTGATTGAGTTTTCCTTAAGCTTATACAAACAGAGGCAATTCTCAATTCTAAGATTTTTTCTATTTTAATTTTTCACAGATTAATGATAAAAAAATATCTCCAATGTGTTATGGCCCAGCTGAGAATGCTCATGTTGCTAAATATAGGATGGTGTTGGAACGATCTCCATTCTCATTGGATCGGAAAAAGTGGTCTAGTGTGGAGAGGGAGAATCTTGCTAAGGGAATAAAGCAACAATTTCAAGAAATTTTGCTTCAAATGTCAATAAATCAAGACAGGTAATGTTATTTCTTTTTTTCTCATGTATGTTGCAGTGAAGGCTCTAGAAATTATACTTATCTTCAGAAAATTTGCTTTAGTAACTATCTATACCTCTTAAACTGTGTAAACTTGGCTTATCTCTCAATTTTACTGCTCAATTTTTTGTAATTAATATATCATAAGTTGGAGATCATGAACACTAACATGTATATGGTGATGTGTGACAATCTGAAGCTCATTTATGTTTTCTTTAGTGTTGTCATGTCATGTTAAACATAGACGCATCTTTTTTTGGGTCTGTGTTTCATAGCTTGTAACCTAGTATGTTAACCATGCTTTACAAGTCCTCACACAAATTATTAAAAAGAATAGTTAAAAATAATATATTCTAATAGAAAGTAATGGATGAATAATATGTGAATGTTACATTCAATTATATATATATATTAGAATAAAAGGCATAAATATGGTTTGATCATTTGTTTAAGTATAAGAATTTATATTTTATAAAATAATATATGGTTTTGAGCCCATTTCAGACTAGCACTGAAGAATCTATCTTTCAGTACGTCAGCACAAGAAACATGGATTCATACATTGGAAAGTGCATCATTTGACCTTTCTCCTTTTCCTCAGTTGTGATTTTTTTTTTTTACCTCCTTGACAGTTCAGAGTGGTCGTGTGGATATGCAAATAACTTTGATAACATGCTTGTATCTATTAAAGATCTTGAGATTACGCCAGAGAACATCAGAAAGTTTCTGCCTGAATTCAATTGGGATCAGTTGGCTTCCAAGTATGTTACTGGTCGTACTGGTGCAGAATGTGAAGCAAGGTAAAGAGTTTATCAATTTGTAAACTTCACTTTTTTTCCTGGAACTTAAAATGCTTCAATTCATGTGATGTCTTGATATTGATGAAAACATAGTTCTGATTTTTTATTATTCACTACGTTTATTGGATGTTATATGTTTCATATGTGGGGAAAGAGTTTCAGCACATATCTGTGAGATTTAAACCAAAAAAAAAAAATTATTCTTATTATACTATTCTGCTTGTTCTATTGTGTTTGAGAAAAATCATGTTCAGCCAATTTGTTACGAGAAAAGTGTGGACAAAACTTATTCACAGCATGTTTTTATAGGCTTTACATGGGTGAGATTGCTGATGTTTGCACTTCCATATAAAAAACAATTAAAACAGACCAATAGTTTTGACCTCTTCGTATTTATTGGCAGCAAAAAGGAACCTAGTTATCAGTGTTAAGAGAATTGGACCAGATGGCCTGTTTGACTACAAACCTAATGTGCTGGACTGTCGTCAGTCTGAATGACCCTTCAAACCAGCCTCTAGAAGAAATGGTCAATGCTAGTCAAAAACTGGGTTGACCAGCTAGTTTTCCATGAAACTGGACTTAATTGATGAAGCGAACTTGTTGATCGGATAAATTCCATCTGCTCTATCGAAATTGGTTGCATGCTACATTGAACCCAGAACCTCTAAGAAATGCATTGGCATGTTTCGCACAAAGCTTTAGTGCTTTTTTTAACAATGAGGTGCTAAATTTTATAGAAAATGCTTTTCCACTATAATACGGTTTGATGATCAAATCATTGGATTATGAATCAGTCTTCAGGTTTAATGAACTGACAAATATATTTGGACTGATGTATTTATTTTAAGACAGATCCTACTTCGACAGAAATAGATTGCAACATCAAATGTTAAAGGATTTCTTGTTTTGCTCTTTTCAATTATTAATTTAGGCTGGGTGCTGTGAAATTTTTCTATCCATTCTACTGCTAACAGAGAAAAGTGAAGTGTCCAATAGTATTAATACTTTACTAGCAGGCCCAACCCAACAAAGAATTACTGCAACAAATATGGCCCTTACAAATGGACCAAGTAGTTGTCCTCTTTTTTGGACATTAGAGTGCTATGCTTGTATTTGAGTTCTAATATACTTATTAGCCCAAGACTTCAAGACGCCCTGAAGTTTTGTTCCATGGTGTAAGAAAACACAAGCCATGAGAGGATTCCAGGTGATCTTAGCTTTTCTTTGATACAGTAGAAAATCCTATTGTATTCAGTGATGCCATCAATACTAAGCCTATCCAGATTGCTATAGAAGAGCACAGTTCCAACATTGCATGGTATAGCTGTATTGTCAAATGAAGAAGCATCGACCATGTTGTGTGACATAGTGATGGTAAAATTTGATTCCTTTCTACGTGCGGTATTCAAGTTTTGTCTGATTGTAGAAATATCTACATCATGATCTTCTTGTGGATTGTGTGACTTATAGCTTGAACTGCTGAAACAGTTTGCTACAGATGTTAATATGTGTTTTGTGGACTTCTTAATATTCCTTGAGAGAGTAAAAGCTTGGGTGAATCCTATTTTCTCCAGACTTTGTATTTGGCCCAAATCCTCAAGTTTATTTTATTTGCATTTTCTACCTTGTCATTCAACTTGAAGATTGAAGATACCATTTAATTCTTCAAATTGTCGAAGAACTTATCTGGACGTGAAACATAATTGACCAGTCAAATCATTTTATAACTTTTGATCTGTGCCATATGCATTATAGTCTAGATATGCTTGTGCATTATTTGACTTGTTACTGTTTCCTGTCATTTTCTTGGTCTTTTCTACACAGTTCTTTGATTATTATTTCATGTTTATGTTCTTTTTGTGAAGAATGTCTTTCTCCTCGAGCATTGCGGGCATCTATGATGATACCATCACAGACAGTTTGTCACTTTTGGGTTTCAATAAGAGTGCAAGATCAACATAGATCATGCAGGTGGGACTGTATATGACATGAATTTTTTTAACATGGTGGCATTTAATATGTCTGTGATGATTGTGATCACAGATGTCTGTGATTCTCATTTCTTGAACACATAATTGAGACTGTAGAATGATTCCCCTATTATGCATGGATTGCAAATTTCCTTTACTTGCTTTTCAGTATGTTTTTTTATGGTTGATACCAACAGGTGGTTAAATTGTGAAGATCCATTGATCAATCATAGTCCATGGACATGTGAGGAGGACAAGTTGCTTTTGCATATAATCCAAGAGATTGGCAATAGGGACTGGTTTAAAATTGCTGCATTGCTGAACACAAATAGGACCCCATTTCAGTGCTTGGCACGATACCAAAGGAGTTTAAATCCTGCCATGCTAAATAGTGAATGGACTGAGGAAGAAGATGCTCAACTTTGTTATGCTGTCTCAATTTTTGGTGTCAGCAATTGGCAGTCTGTTGCTTCTGTTTTAGAACGAAGGACGGGAACTCAATGCTCTAATAGGTTGGTCCGCTATGTTATGAGTCATTTTATGATTTAATATATGCATACAATTTTTCCATGGTAGTATGCCGTTCAAAAATAGGACAACTGACATTTTATTTCTTGCATACTCTTCATTTACTGATATGCTGGTAGTTGATGGATGAGTGCACCATGCCTTTCGTCTACAAAATGTTACTATGTCCTAAAGACATAAATTAACTTCCCATAGCTTTTGATTTGTTTTGCCTCCCATTTGAACCTCAGCTGAACTGATTTTTCTTTTATCTCATTGTCACTTGGAGAATTGTTTTTCAGTTAATGCTATCCAAAGCATAATGCCATATATCTTGAATGTTCTTGTTTGCTTTATTAAAAGAAATGTGAATGGTGACTTGTACATTGCTGAATTGATAGATTTCATTGCTTGTTTCCTTTCCTTGGATGATAGGGACATAGTAATACAGGAATTTGCTGGAGCCGATAAAATTTTTCTTGCTTATAATTCTTACATGGTTACAAACTGTTGAAATCCTTGAATTTAAAATGATACCCTCATCTCTTAACAATATGATACTCTCATAATAAAACTTAGTCATTGATGCAAGAAACATTGAGATGCTGTTTTTGTTACACAGCTTTTTGATTTTATGTTTCATGTGCTTAGTATCTGCTGACAGTTTTCTGCACCCTTCTTTCTTCATATTTTATTTGAGACAAATGCTGCTGCTTTTACTTATTATAGGTTTTATCTACAAACTAGTAGTTTCTGCAAGTAAAGTATGCAGATAAAGTTCATCTTTGTATTAATGTTATGTGATTATTAGTAGAGAGGAAGGAATTAGGAATTCTTTCAATGTCTGCCCTAGTTAGTCAATTAATGCAATTTGTTCGAATTGATATTCAGATGGAAGAAGTCACTCTGTCCTGATAGGAAAGGGAGCTTTACTGCAGAAGAAGATGAGCGCTTAACAGTGGCCGTCCATCTCTTTGGACGGAAATGGAATCAGATAGCTAAATTTGTTCCTGGCCGGACCCAAGCTCAGTGCAGAGACAGGTAATGAATGTTAAAATTTTATGTATATTTGATGACTTGAGATTATTGCTAAAGTTGTTGAGCATTCAGATACGTCAATAGTTTGGATCCCTCCTTGAAATGGGGTGGATGGACTAAGGAAGAAGATTCAAGGTTGAAAAAAGCAATTGCCAAACATGGATTCTTCTGGTCAAAGGTTGCTGCAGATGTGCCTCCACGAACTGACAGTCAATGCAGGAAGTATGACTTCTTATTTGATGATATAGTGGACAAAAATATAATTTACTATCACCTAAATTTTTTGTTTTCATGACTTATAATTTTGTCTTTGATCAGGAGATGGCGGGTTCTATGTCCTGACCAAGTCCCTATGCTTCAAGAAGCTAGAAAGATGCAAAAATCTGCTTTAATCAGTAACTTTGTTGATCGGGAGTCTGAACGGCCGTGCCTTTCTCTAAATGATTTTCTTCCCTTGGCAATGATAGATCCACCACCTGATCCAGATGCTGTGAGCCTCCCTCAGAAGCGGAAGAGCAAGTCAAGGTTCAAAGTGCTTCTTTGTTTGTTTTCCTCCTTACCCCCTCCCTCTCCCAATCAATTAGCAAGTTACAGCTTTGTTAGGGTTAAATTGTCTTAGTATGTTAAGAGTGGGTAAAGAAGTTGCACGTTTATTTAATGCCCTTCACTTTGTTAGGAATTGAATGTTGGCTACACTTTATTTAATGTCCTTCGCATTTATTTATGATTTCATTTATTTAATGTAGCAATGCTTCCAAGAAGAAGAGGCCCCAAAAACGTGCAAAAAAGGCTCAAAGTTGTCTCAAGAAGGCACAGGTTGACAAGGTTGAGCCTTGTAGTGGGCATGGTGTCCACAAGCCAAAAATTATTGGATCGCATTTGGAGGACAATTCTGTTGAAGCAGTGTATGATCATTCCCCACTGGACTCGGTTGTGATGACAACAAATTACCAAGAGGATTTAGGTGGGCATAATAATATCAATAAGCTAATGGAGTCAAATCAAATGTGGAAGGGTTTTAATGAATTACATAACGAGAGCCATACTTGTGCAGGGACTACAGATGGGCAATCTGAGAAAATCTCTTCCATGAACCCATCAAAACACCAAACTGGAAGAAACTCAATGCTCTCTGCAAATATATCTGATGGTGCAGCTGTAGGTCGCAAGGTTGCCAGAAATACTACTTCAAAGAAGGAAAGAAAGAAGACAGGGAAACGCAATGGAATGGTTAGTGTTGAAACGGCAGAGGACCACCTGGTTAAGTATAAAATGCCAAAACCTGGAAGCATATCTTCTATGCAGATTTTAGAAAGTCAGGATGAAGACAATATAACTCTTGCTAGATTTATACGCAATATATCAAACAAACAGTTTAAAAATACCGATCAAATGACTCAGGCTGCTTCCTATGCTAGTAGTTTCGTAAAAAAATCACGGAGATCTCGTCGGGCTGCCAAAAGAACTTGTGATTACATGCCTTTTAGTTTGAAGAAGGGACATGAATTGCTTTCTGAAGAAGTGCGCCACGGTCATGACAGAAACCAAGAAATGTCGTTCATGCAAGACAAGAATTTAGATGAAGGTTGTATTGATGTTACACCAGGGACTCTATTGGTCCACAATCATTCTTCCAATTTGAAGAACATGTCAATCATTGAAGCTGATGACAATGGGAAGGCAATGTCAGAGCTAGTCTGCGAGCAGACTATGTTTTTGGATGGTGCTATGGAACCCAAAAACATTGGAGAGAATGTGCCTACTGATGTTACCCTTGCTTCTTTTCTGAAAAAGAAGAAAATCAAGAAGGGCAAGGCAATATCAGAGCCAGTTGATGAGCAAGCTATAGATTTGAATTTTTTGACAGAAGCGGAAAACACGAGGGGTGGAGAGGATGGGTCTCTCAACGTTACTCTTGCTTCCTTGCTGAAAAAGAAAGGAAGGAGAGAGGGTAGAACAACCAAACGGAGCATTCGTCCCTCATAATGTAGCTATAAGATAAAATGGTCGATTTGATGCTGGCTGGCTGTGATTGGTTTGTGCCGAGGTCATGTTTTGGTCGAAGACTGCCCCGTTGTATTTTTTTTTTTTTTTTGGGGGGGGTTGGAAAACAAAGAGGGTTGGAAGTAGCTGTACTTGAAAAGTAGTGAGAAGTTGCAAGCCTGGGCTGATGAGGCATGATTCTTTGTGATTTCAACATATTGGCAATTGCCATTAGTTCTCTTTGCTGACAGTTTTGCTGAGCCAAGGCCTGTGTAGCATGGAGACAGTTTTCGGCCTGGCACAATGAAGGTTTCATTGTCGGATGTACTTAATGCCATAGAATATATATATATATATATATAGTGAAATTTTATGACAATTTTTATGTCTATAAAACTTTTCTTGAGCGGTATCCAAATAAATCATGTGATTTCATTAACTTTGTCTGATGCACAAGTGTTGTTATGCCCTAGATACAAAAAAAAAAAAAAAAAAGTCATATTCTGTTAATCGACAAATGGTGAATAATAAATTCGAGGCAGTTATTATATGCTGCTGGAATACGCACTTGCGTAATTTTTTTTGTATATTTAAAAAATGTATGAGTTGTAATTTTTAAAATTAATGAATAATGAAATATTTCTCCAATTTCATGAGTTATGTAGACGCCCACTTAATGTACTGAAGAAATCCTTTTTTTCTATTTGAAAAATAATTATTATAGTTTCAACTTGTTTAAAACTCAATCAAATATGATTTGATTTAATTCAATTTTTAATTCATGAGGTATCCGATGACAAGGATGAAGCAGCATCATATCGACACAGCGTAAGGTCATGAATTAGCATTGGTGAGAGGGAAAAAAAAAGGGAAAAAGCTGAAATTATACAGACTTATAAAACAAACGTGATTCAATTTTTTAAAATTATATAGACTGTAAATATTCAAAAAAATACAGGAACTAAAAGTAAAATCGAGTGAAACCATAAGGATTGATAAAAAGTAGCTTCAATTTTCAGGGGAAATAAAACAAAAATTGAAAAGAATATAATCATGTTTGGTTTCTGTTCTCATTTTCTGTTTTTAAACTGTTGTGCAATATAATTTTTAGAACCGTTTTTCAAAAAAAATAAAATAAAAATATATTTAGTTATATTAATTTAAAAACAGTTTTAGAATTTAAAAGTAGGTTGGTAAGAATTATTACAAGCGCGCTTAATGGTGGTAGTTTATTATAAAAATTGGTCGAGCGAATTATATTTTTTAATAATCAAATGTGGTGTGCTTTGAAAACAAAAAAAGAAATAAAAATAACTTTAATATGTTTTCATTTAAAAAAAATAAAAAATAAAACAATTTTAAAAATAATTAAATTCAAAACACTTATCCAAATGAGTTTATAATTTTTGTTTTTAAAAATAAAAAAAATTAAAAATAGAAACCAAATGCCCTAAGTTTCGTTAATAAATCATTACTTCTTGCAAAAACTTCACATCACTCTGAAAATCATCTTATAAAATGAGGCGGATGTACTATACAATAACTGAGCAATTTTGTTCATATTAACAAGATACTCCCTCAATTCCTCATAATGACATAATAATGATTTTGAATCCTTGCATTTTGCTCACTTTTTATTATTAATCTTTATATTTTTTTTTAAATATTTTAGGTCCTTACACTTTTGTTTGTTAATGTTTTAGATCCCTCCAAAGTCTTTACACCTATACTTTGTTTATGGAGGGATCTAAAATATTAAAAATAAAAGTGTAAAGACTTAAAACACTAAAAAAAAAGTACAGGGATTCAAAGTTATATTTTTTCATAATTTTACATTAAAATTACTAATGCTTTTAAAAATTTTACATAGAGGAAGTCATTGTTAGGAGATTATTTAGTGATCAAGTAATATCAAAATAGGAGAGAGAAAAAAATTTAAACAAAAAATTTTATATTAAAGACCATGCATCTAAAAAAAGAAAGTACCTTATTTTATAACAAAAAAAGATAGTTTAGCTACAGGGTTTGGGTTTAGTAAAAAAATATTAGTCCCTTACGACGTACTCCTTCCATCCCTTTGTATGGAACATTTTAGAGGTTTATTTTGTCACCACATAGAGTGTTATAATATTTTTAAATAATCAAACAATTTTATCCTTGTTTTGAAGAACTAAAAAGATATTAATTGACAATGTTAGGAGTACAATTAAAAAATTATTGTAACTTCATGTAATTTCAACTAGATAACACCTTTATTAATATACAAGATTCAATTAAAAATACCTTGTACATAAAGATGGAGAGAGTAATGAATTAAGATTTAAATTTTCACATAAACACCCACATTTAGTGTGCGACTTTCAAACAGTGAGTGTGTTTTACCTTCCATAGAAAAATACGTGCACGCAGCTAGAAAGTAAAAGAAAGAAAGTAGCTTCCAAGCTGCCACATCAGACGATGTTACTGAGACGCTAGTGAAGACACAACTAAGCCAGGCTAAATCAGTGTTGATGACATCTTAGGATGATTTCTGCAAGAAATCACTCATCGCTTGATTTTCTTTTGAATCACCCGATCTTCGTCTTCGCTATTCGTGAGACATCCAAGCCATAGCTCTTCTAGTGTTGATGCTTAGGTGCCCAGACTGGATCCACCATCTGATGATAAACAATCTTTCAAGCCTCGGGTATGCATTAATAAGATATTATAACTTGCACTAGGCTTTCCTTCTATATACATTGATAAGATTACCAGGTGGTGAAAGTAATGACGTGGCCCTTTCCAAGGAGCAGCAATCAATATATATGTGCTGTAAACAAACCATCCATTCTATTGGGCATTGTAAGACTCATCTATTAATGCACCCCCCAGGTTCCCCACCAGACGACCAGAGGTTCTCCACCCAGAACATGGTTTTGTGGGAAAGCAACCCAAGACATGGTTTTACAGTCTGTTGTAACATACAAGAATAAAGATCTAGTTTTGCGCAATTATCATTCAGCAGATGGAAACAAGATTAATCAAGAAAAATCTTGTAATGAATGATAACTGAAGTGAATAGTTGGATAAAATAAAAATAAAAAGGCCGCCACAAGGCCATTATCTTCAGCACACAAATTGAACTCACAGAAGAACCACCTAAAACTTTTTGGTCTGTATCTAGATTAGAAATCACTCAGATTTATATCAAAATTTCAAACAGACTAGCATCTCATAGTTTTTTCTGATAGCTCTTCCTAGTAACGTCCAATTCCCCAAACTCTGATCACACCATCAGTGTATCCACTGAACAAGGTGCTTCCATCTGCACTCCAGCTCAAACTAGTGCAGTAGATTACCTGCCAGACAGGAAACAATATATCAACACCTTTCATTATAGATGCCAGCCAAAAAACAAATGAACTACATATTGCCATATATACCTTCATATCCTACATTTGCAAGACCCTGATATAAACCACTTAAGAATACGAAATAATAATCAGGACAAATAAGACAATCATCGACAAGACCAAACTGTCAAAAAGCCTCAGGTGACAGTTTGCTACAGTGGAACTAGTTTTAAAAAAAATGATACTCAACTTCCATGGAAGAAGGGGAGCTTGTGCATATACACATACACACACATATATAACGAGACTTTCAAGAGCAGGAATTACTACAGTAGAGATAGCAGAATACAATACTCCACCAACCATACAAAGCAAACGCCCAAATAGATTCTAGAACACTAAAAGCTAACAAAAAATTGGAGTGGAAATATAGAACAAATTAGAGATTGGACGAGGAAGGAGTAGTACATGGCATCAACAGACGGAATTAAAAGGAAGCATAAGCCTCATGTATTTGAAGCAATAGGAGGCATGCTTGTTCCAACGCATTAAATAAAACTGCAGGCATTCATTTCATAGTTCAAACACATGAACGAAGTATAATGGCACAATGAGATGGCTTATGAACATCAATCAACTGAGAACATGAGAGAGGTTATGAAGTCGTGATAGAGACAGTGGGGAACTCGGTAAGGACTTCAACCGGGCAAGAAAAATGAAATTGAAATAACCAGGAACGAACGAACAGAAGTTAAATATCAAAGCAAGAGATAAAAATAACATGACCGCAAAAGGTTAACCCAGCTACTTGTACATCAATAGGGACAATTCAATTACGAATCAACATAGTCACAGAATACTCATGAAATGGAATCAAAGAAATTCATCACAGAATAATGACTTCTTAAAGGTAAAACGCTCGAAGAAATGACAATGATCAGAACTCACCTTCTTCTTGGTGCTGGTGCCTTCCGCCGTTTCAGCTTCAGTTTTCAGGTCGACCTTCAAATCTTCGACAATGCTCTTGCTCTCCAAATCCCAGATCTTAATGCTTTGCTCTGTAGCAGCACAGAGCCAGTACCTGTTAGGACTAAAGCAGAGAGCATGAATGATAGCACCAGCATCGAGGGAGTACAGCCTCTTCCCCTCAGCCAAATCCCAAAGCAAAATCACTCCATCTTTGCCACCACTAGCGCACAGCGAGCCATCAGGAGAAACCGCCACTGTGTTGACATAGCCGGAGTGGCCAGCGAGGGTGTTCCTCAGCTTACAATTCGTCAAGTTCCAAACTTTCACAGTTCGGTCCCAAGAGGCCGAAACAATAGTTGGTTGAAGCGTATTTGGACTGAAGCGAACACAACTGACCCAATCAGAGTGGGCATCACTGTCCTGAATGGTGTACTTGCACTCACCAAGAGTATTCCAGAGCTTAATTGTGCGGTCACGAGAAGCCGACACAATCTGACGGTTGTCAATTGAGAAAGCGACTGAGAGCACATCCTTGGTGTGGCCCACGAATCGGCGGGCAGAGACACCGGCGGCCAAGTCCCAGAGCCTGAGCTCGCCATCCCAGGAGCCGGAGAGAGCGAACTGGCCGTCAGAAGAGAGAACGACGTCCTGAACGAAGTGGGAGTGCCCGGTCAGCCTACGGCGAGGAACACCGTAAGTCTTCTCCTCCTTGGTCAGATGCCACAAAATGATTGATTTATCCCGGGAAGAGGATACGATCATATCGGAATTGTCGATCGGGGTGGCAATGGCGGTGACCGAGTCGGTGTGGGCACGCATGGTGCCTCGAAGAACAAGCCCTTCAGCCATTTGCAGAGTTTCTCGGCACTTCTCTGCGATTCCTTAGGTTTGGTAAAAAGCGGCGGCTACGTGGGAACCATATAGAGCGCTGAAACGTATTAGGGTTTAGGCAATGCCGGGTCAGTTTTTCGGGTTGCGAGTTCGGATAAGGAGCTGCTACTATTTTCAAATTCTTTTATTGGCAGTTATTTTGGTTGCTTAATCTTGGTCTCTGATTGGGAGTAGCTTTTTATCTGATAAGCCGTGCCTTTTTCATAACCCGAAATGTTTTGATAAGCGGTTTTTTTCGCTAGTAATTTAACTTTCACTTGCACTCTGAGTTTTATTATTCACTGCGTGTCATTTAATAGAGTAGGGACCTTTGCTGTGAAAAGTTATAGCTATAGAGGATTCAGATCCTCTCCCGTAATTCATGTGCAATGTTAGCAACTACTTTTATAAAGACGATCATAATTTATTTTCAATTGTTAAATAAAATGATATTTCTTGAACTCTTCATCTTCTCCGGGGATTTGGGGTGGTTTTCTCTCCATTACTTTTTTATTGTAAATCTACACCGTTTAAGTTAAATATATACTTTTAAAAATAATTAAATCTAAATTGTCAAATCTAAATTCACGATCGAGATTTACTATTGTCCCTTCTATGCTCTCCTCTGCAAAAAAAAGAGAGCTAACTCCCATCTTTCTTTTTCCTTCTTATTGTCTTCAGTTTAATCATCTTCTTTCTCGGCGCATGTAAAACAAGGATTGGGATCCACAAAAAGGTTTGGGAATTCAGTATATTATCATCAAAAGGATGCTCTCGAGAAGCCTTTCATAACTTTGTTCTGATGAAGCTTTTAATTTGAGAACTAACCTAAGCTAAAGGCTATTGCAGATGGAGAACATGGGGGACGGGGAGAGATTGTTGATAGCAATGGACTTAAAATTGAAGCATACCACAAATGAAGAACACAAGTGGAGAATGAGATATGAGATGTTATCAGTGGCGATGAGCATGAAACTAGTTGGGAGAGCTTTGATGAATTGTTAGATATTTTTTCCTACTAGTGTAGAATTTGAATTTTACAAGGGACTTTTAACATCGGTTAACGCGCATTGACTGTTAAAGGCGATAATATTTTTGTAATTTTAAATAACTTTCAACAATGGGCGAAGTAAACCCATCGTTGAAACTCTACTTTCAACAGCAGGTTCCTTATACCCACTGTTAAAAATATACATTTAAAAATAAAAAATAAAATTATTCAACTTTCAACAACGAGTGGACACCAACTGTTGTTGAAAGTGACCTTTCAACAGCAAGTAGAGGGAACTTGCTATTGAAAGGTCGTTAAATTTTTTTTTAAAAAAAACAAACACTTTCAACAGAAGGCACCCGTCGTTGAAAGCTCATTAAAAGAAAAAAAAAATAAAAAAAAACAAACACTTTCAACAGTGAGTGGAGTACCACCCGCTGTTGAAAAGTTTTCAATTTTTTGGTCTCTAAACCTGCCCCCCACTCCCCTTCCTAATTATTTATTTTCTTCCTTCTTTACTAGATACACCTCTTTCTCCTTCACCTCTCCCCCTTGGCCCCCCTCCCCGACTTCCCTCTCCTCTCAGCCCCTTGGTCTCCCCCTCCTTTCGACCCCCCTGTCACCCCCCACCCGTTGCCCCCTCCTCTTCACCCCCCGGTTGCCCCTGCCCAAGACCCCCTTCCCCACCCCATCGCCCCCTCTCCATCGACCCCTACCCCTACTCCCCTCTCCTCACCCCCTTGGCCCCATACCCCTCCCCCAGTGGTCTCATCCACCCTCCTCTATTGCTTCAAGTGCTTTTTTTAATTATTATTTAATTATAATTTTTTAATTATTATTTAAATAATTATTGTTGAATTATTTTTATGTAGAATTGTTGTTGTTGGATGTCTAATGTTTAAAAAAAATATTTTAAATTTATTGATATTAATTATTGCTGGAAGTGCTGTTAGTGGCTTCATAAGGCCTTAAATGTTGCATGTGATTTTTTATTTTGTGTAAAATTATAAATTTTCTCTTATAAAATTTTTGAGAAGTCTAATTTTTAATGAAGACTCTACCAAACTTTTTTTAAATCTAGTATTTTCCTTAAATTAATTAAAATCATAGATTAATTAAAAATTTATATTTTTTGAAATAGTTTGAAGATAATAACATGCACATTAGTTTTATTGTCCTCTAGATAGTAATATATAGATCGTAGTTGGATGAATGTTAAACGAATAAGTGATGCGTATGATAATAATGTAAAGGAGTTTTTAGAATTTGCTAAGAAAAATGTTGTTGATCATGGTGGAAAGTTCTATTATCCTTGTCTAAATTGTTTGAATGAGAGTAGACTCAGTGTTGCTGAAATAAGAAAACACTTGATTTGTGATAGGATTTACAGGAATTATACGATATGAATTTAGCATGGTGAACGATTAGAAAATTATAGTGGTACATCTCAATATGTGAAAGTTGGTATAGAAATTTGTATTGGTACACCTCAATATATGAAAGTTGGTAATGATCTTGGTGATGAAGTAGATATGGATGAAGATCGATTAGAGGACATGATCTATAATGTTGGAGAAGAGGCTTTTGAACGAGCGCATGTGTATGATAACTTGTGCACTGATATAGAAAAGCCTTTATATCCAGGGTGTACTGATTTCAGTTTGTTGTTTGAGGTGTTAAAATTAGTTATGTTGAAGGCAAGAGCTGGGTGGAGTGATCAGAGTTTTACATGGTTGCTAGAGTTACTCCAAAAAATGCTTCCAAAAGAAAATGTACTCCTAAAGCATTATTATAATGCTAAGAAGATCTTGTGTTCAATAGGCATGAATTTTAAAAAGATACAGGCATATCCTAATGATTGTGTGCCATATAGAGAAGAGCTTGAAAAGGAGGAAAATTGTCCAAAATGTAAGGCACCACAGTACAAAGAGAAAGAGGCTCCTATAAAGGTTTTGTGGTATCTTCCGATTATACCAAGATTCAAGCGCTTGTTTACAAATACTAATGATGCGAAGAACTTAAGGTGGCATGCAAATGAGAAGATTTCTGACAAAAAATTTTGACATCTAGCCAATTCTCCTGAGTAGAAGAAAATTGATCAATTGTTTTTTAAATTTGGTAATGAACCAAGGAACCTTAGGCTTGAACTTTCTTACGGCATGAACCAATGTTAAAAATAGAACTTTTAATATCGGTTATGGCATGAACCGATGTTGAAAGTTCTTTTTTAAAAGAAAAACTTTCAACAAAAAAGTTTCAACAGCGAGTCTATGTCCATGGTTGAAAGTTCATTTTTAACAGTAGTTATAAAATCGCTGTTAAAAGTCACTTACATTTAACATCCCCTGAAATAACAGCGGACGTGGAACCGATGTTAAAAGTATTTTTTACCCACTATTAAAAGCCTATCCTGTAGTAGTATTCATTTTGACAATTTAAAAATAAATTTTATATCGCTTTTCTTTCAATCGTTGGATAAAACTTGAGGTCCTTGATGAAGCACTTCCCCCCAAGAATCACGAGAGGTGATCTGAATCCATTCATAAACAAAGCATGTCTTTGTTAGTAAAATCATCTTTTAAAAGTTTTGAACAAGCTTTTAGGTCTTTTAATGCTAAATGAAAACCGGCACTGTATATTTATGTAAGTCTATTGGTATCAATAAGTATTATACTGTAAAAAATTTGAGAAACCATGTTGCTTGGCTTAACAAGTAAGTGCTCAATCAGTTAAAGTCATGATGAGTTCCCTAGTTCGAGGAATGAAAATAATATAAACTTTGAGGTCTAATTTAAATTTAATTTTCATTTTTGCATCAAAAATATTTTTTGGGCTGACAATTTCTCCCCAGTCAATTTAATAGATGAAATTAATTGATGATCAATCATGAAAATGGCAATTTTGATAAGAGTGATCCTCCCACTTCCTCATGTGGCTTTAATTTCTCGTGAAGATTAATGACTAGCCATTTCTAAATCTAATCCTAGCATCTTCTAAGAAGCTATGTCTAGAAACTTGACAAGCCTCGGATCCTTTAACCCATGAAGTTGTTCTGAGTTGAAGAATTCTTTCAAGTAATGCCCGTAGAGATAAAATTTCCTAATACGATGCTCTTCTCAAGGTTTCGGCTAATCCTAGATAATCTCATGAATGCTAGCTAGATAAAATTTCCTTTGATATTAATATACAAAAAAGCTAAGTTATTTATTCATTCTAGTGTGCGAGGTAACATAAAAAAAAATTATTTGGGTTTGAGTTTACTCAAAAAACCTGAGGCCTCTCCATAAAAGATCTTTCAACTAACTTGAATGTCAAAGTGAAATTAAAGAATTCCTTCAAAAACTCCTAACACCCTTACAAATAATAATTTCAAAAAGTAGTCACATAAAATTTATACTTGTGGAAGCTATATTTAACTATAGAACCACTCTTATTAAACTTAACACATTTTATTTTATATATTTCTAACCTTATAACTTTTCAAAGATTCTCCAAAGCAATTCTAAATCATATTAATAATTACTTTTTAACTTTAAAGTGCCCGTGGGCTTGTTTTATAGGTCATAAGCATCCAATAAAAAAGTTTTCGGTAACTAAATAAATTTTAATTTATGATAAATTATTCTCTAGATTCACCTTTAATTTATAAATTGATTTAGATAGGTCTAAAAATAATCTCTACATGTTTCAAGATTATTCAAAATCATTTAGAGTTTTTTAAAATTATTTTCTATCATCCCAAAAAAGCGGGTCATCACTCAACATCTTTATGCATTTTCCAGGTTTTTCCTAATTTTAAATTCATCTAAATTTAGTGATCATAGTTAGAACAAAAATTTTAAGATATTTATCCGACCTTAAAAAGTCTCAATCTAATATAGAATATCTGTGTAGCCTCTTTAGTCTTTACTCTTTAGAATTTCTCCCCCTGCTCTACGAAACGCTCGCTTTCGTTCTCTCTTGTGATCTCTCTCACAGCGCTGCCACGAAAACAAAATAAGAGCCCTTACTGTTCGACTATAAATAATCTTTTTTTTGTTTTATTTTATTTTCTTTATCCTTTAAGGATTTATTAAT